CTCTTTTTACCTAGTTCTCCTCTTTGGATTAGGACCTCTCATTAAAAAAACCAAACATACTCATTTGTCTGAAGAGACTATTTGGACTTTGCTCTTGCCTAGTACCACGCTCATTATGATCTGGACATGATTGGCATATGCCCTTGAAAGCAGGAGGTGGAGTGGAGTAGAGCAGAAAAATGCTAATTCAGATAGCTAAGGAAAAGTGGAAAGTGGCAGAGTGTCTGTGAGGGAGTAGCTTTTTATTTTATGCCTATACTTTGCAAATAATGCTTGTTCACAGATGTTATTACAAAAGTTTTCAGTGTTTTCACTTTGCTAAATACATATTGCATTGTAAATTGCGTTAGTGTGACATATGTATTGTTTGCCACGACCAAAACCAAACATTTTAACACAGTGAGAGTTGTCTTTCCACATCTTTCTCCATGCGATCTCGTGTGAAGTGGATGTTATAATACTTACTGATCAGTTAGACGAGGGCAGTTTAACTTCAGGGTGACAGCTTTATCCAGCTTGTGATATTCCTCTGCTCAGTGGCTTCACTGAGAGTTCCTCTTGCCAGGAGGAAGAAGGTTGCTCTAAGATTTATTTTCTCTTTTAATGTGGGCAAGGCGGTAGTGCCCCAGTCTCTAATTACCTGCTAGTTCATGGGCAGAAGAGGATGTGTGGCTGTTGGAAACACATTGTTTGAGCAGTTGTACAAAGACTCTTCCAAGAAGAAGGTAGCAAGCAGGCTGGAGGTGTGACACAGCCAGAATCCAGCCTTTGGGACAGTTCTGAGCTATATTATGAGTCTCAAGTAAGGATCCCTTAAGGGAAAATCACACTGGTGATTCTTTTAAGTTGCTAGTTGTAATGAGATGTCACACACAAAAGCTAAAGGAACTTCTTTATGAGGTTTATCCAAGGAGATGGACTTTTTTTTCATGTTAATGTATCTGTAATCATCGTCAGCTGAAATTCTAGCAAAGAAAGAAGTCTTTGTTCTTGCAAGACCTTGTTCTGCATCTTCAGGTGCAAACCATATCTGTAATTGCAGGCACCTTTTACCTATGAAGTAACAAGAAATTTAACAGAAAGTAAGGAGGACTCTGAAGAGATCCACAGTAGAGGAGATCCAGATTCACCAGGCTATTTATAACTTGAAAGTCTCTCCTAGAAGTTTGAAATTGATGCAGTGGAAAAGGTGGCAAAAGCTACAAAAAGTGAGTGGTGTGGTCAGATCAAGCCATCCACAGCTGCATTGAGGTCTGAATGTGGATCCTTGCAAGAGCGTTCAATGCCTGGCAGTCAGCAGATGGAATTATTAGAAAAATGCAGTATATCTTTCTGTGTCTTTATCCTCCAGAACTCTATTTGTCAGTCTTTCTGGTCAGTTACGCTTCACAGATTTTGGGGTGGCATTATTTGCTAAGTTGTGATACAAGACACAGTCTAATACTTGTGTGTGGAGGGGTCCTTAATCATCTGTCTGGATGAGATGCACGTAGCCTGGTTCTGAAGTCTGCCTTCGAAGACACTGGAGGGAAAAAAGAATATGTTAGAGAGATCCTTTTCATCCTGAGGTAGACCTTCTAAACTGCTGCTTATCAGCTGCTTTTTAGACCTGCCTGTTTTTCGCTTGGGTACAAATTGACTATAGCTAAGGCTTGGAGAGATTCCACCTTATGCCTTGTAACCCAGAGCATCTAATGCGAATGATGCAGTGAATATAGGTGATATTTTCTATACACAGAAATTACAGGCTGTTTCAGCACTTGTAATTTCCTGAACACCAGTCCACCAGAAGGTGTTCTGTGTAGGCACACCTTTCTTTTACTGAGGATTAAGTACCTGGGGTTAAAAAAGAAAGGCAAACATCAGTCTTACAGGCTACTGTTAGTTCTGCCTCTATATATTATGCATGCTAAGGATTAAAAATATAGTTAGCATAGTTTTTACTAATGCAACACGCGTCAGCTTTTTGTCAACTGAAATATGGTGAATTACAAAAATAAATTGAATGCATGAATAAGTAGATATGTCAGTTAAACCTAAATGTGTTCAACTGAGATATCCTTAGTATGCTCAAGGCAGAGAAATTGTTCTTCTGCACACAATTGCAAACATAGAATTTGTAGTATATTTTAATGTGCAATGTGATAGCATTATAGTTTGTGCAACTTCTCTGTTCAATTTGTCAGCGTTAGTTTGCCTCATTCAGACAGAGGCTTGTGTAAACATTGCACGTATTGCTTCAAGAGACATGCTGTGTGCATGAATTCAGTCATATTTCATTACTTTGTTGGTCAAAATAACTCTTTACTGTTTGATATTCCTGTTAACCACGTAGAGCCAAGATAGCAAAGAAAGTGTGGGCTGTGTTCTTTCTTGCTCATCATTTGAATCACTTTCTGAATTAAACACATGCAAACTTATTCAGGGAGGGGAGCACCATGAAAAGTCTCATTTGCCGTATTTGGTTGCTAGTGAAGGAAATAATGCTGCTAATAATTTGAATTCTTGAACTTCAGGTTGGGTTTGCTGGACTAGCAGTTGTACCAAAGAAAAAGAAAAGATACTTATTTTAAAGGGCATTGGTATAATTCAGTAAAAGTTGGCTGTGAATAAATTTTGTCTGTAATTCAGCTGAGTGAAAAGGAAACCCTCAGCAGCAGCTTCGTGAGCATGTTGGCTTTCATTCTGTGGAATAAGCCACGCAAGTTGTCCATGAGCATAATTTTAACTCATGTATTTCAGAAGCCAGAGTTTTTTGTACAGGGAGTTGGTGTCTGCGGCAGCCTAAACTCTGCAATGTGCCATTTGGTCTTTTTGGCATTTTAGCTTTTTCCCTTTGGGTGAGGTTCTCTAGCAACAGAATTTGTTAGTCAAAAATATCTCTCGGATAAGCTGCTTGTGGTTCTAGTGGGTGTTTTCACTGTGCATCGCCTCTGTCCTTCATGCCATGCCAATTACTGGATTCTTAAAAAAATTGATAATGGACCAGAAAACGTAGACTTCAGTTTTGTTGACTGCATATTAGCTTCTACCTGAAGATCCAGGGAATGCTGAGCCAGCATCTTGAGAGAGGAGTGTGAACAAAAGTGTGAAGCAACTAACATGAGTGTATACATATAAGACACAAATTTCCAATTTTGTTTGAAAAGAAAGCAGTAATAAGCGTTTTGTCCAAGTACTGAAAGATCTTTATTTTACAAATAGGCAGAAAACTCGAGGGCATTGAGCCTAAATTACTTGTTTGTGGACTGTGCTTTTAGGGAAGTGTGCATTCATTTTGTGGAATTAGCCCTACGTTTCCATGTCAGCTGTAAAGCGTAACCCTACACTTCAGTGAAACGAGGACTAAGGTGACTTGGATGTAACTGGAAGGCTTCCACCTTATCCTTTGCGATGCCGTCGGAAGCAGGTCGGCTTGGGAAAAACAGCAAATTATTCGGATGCCAGAGTTTTAGTGAACAATAGGGAAATCACGTTTGCTTAGTACATTACATATGCTGTTCAGTTTTTGGACTTGTGTCTAATATTATGTAAGGCAGAGATTGGCAGCTTTTCAGGAGTGAGGTGCCAGATTGTATTTTTCTTTCACAAATTAGAGGTTAAGAATGCTAGTTGAAAACATTCAAACGTGCTGTCAGGCGGTGTTTGGAAACGGCTGGCTGTCACGCCGGCAAGATGCCACCCGGCAGCCGGCGGACGGCGTGGGGCCGTTGTGAGGGGCAGGGCTGCCTGTCCCAGCGCTGCCAGAGACAGGAGTGCTCGCAGGACACCGAGGCTCCCGGCGCTCCGGCCCGTGCCAACGATGCCAGTGTTGTGTGCCTCTGGAAATCTATCCGCCTCTTCCTTTGCCGTGTATGCCAAGGGTTGGGAACTGCAGGCCCAGTAGGAAACTGTGTCCCATGCATCTAAAATTGTCTGGTTTAATTGCTATTAGTGTGAAGTTTGGCATAAATTTCTTGTGCGAGGTTGGCTTAACGTGGCTCAGCAGAGATGCTTTTGTAACAGATACTTTGGAGACTGGATGGTCACTGTGAAACCAGAGCTAAGCAATTGATCAGTAACGTTCTCTTTTACATTGCATTTTTCTAAAATAGGGACGAGCACGAGCAGATTCTTGATGCAAGTTTCGAAGAAACAATATTTGAAACCCCTGAGCATATGCAAAAAGATGTTCTTTGTGAAGTGATGTGGAATATTACAATGTCTATATTGGTTTTGCAGGCTGTATTAATTGAGAAGTAATATAGGGTAGTATAGGATAGTAACCTGTAGGCTTATTTTAGAATCTAACCTTTGACAAAGAGCTCTAGCTGTTTTATATGTTTAATAACTCTTGGGAGTACTAATTATCAGGTAACCTGGAGCCATATCTGAGCAGTGAGCAATACTATACTTTTTTCAAACCTAGCGCAAGCGTGCATGAGTTGGCCTCTTATTTTGTGGTATCATTCATACAAATGCACCGGTGTTGCGTCTAGTGTAACATGTTTCAAGATTGAGCCTGTCAACGCTTGTATTGGAAAGTGGAGCAGGTTCAGAAAGCAACAGTCTGATTACAGGCAGCTGCCTCTTGATTTTAGGACAAGGCTTATTGTTACATCAAAAGCTTTCAAATGTAATTATGGCATGGGACAGTTACTGTGTAGATATTCCTAGAGTACCACCTCTGCAACCTATTAGTGTGTGGACCATGTTGTCTTCTATCCGTGGTCATATGACAGCTAGATCAATTTTCTCATTTAGAAAATATAAATGGTTTCTACATAGAAAAACTTATGATGAAAATATCTAAATTATCACACCATATCATATCTCAGTGATTTTGGTCATTGCTTAATAAAAAAAAAGCATAATTTTCTTCCTTAAATTAAAAAAAAAAAAAAAAAGCATATAAACGTGAAACTTTTTTGAATTCAGTAGCATGTACTAAATAGTCAAAATATTTAATAGTATAATTAATAATACATATTTTAATGGTATTTCATGTTTTCTTTTCCCAGGAGCTGTGATCATCTCCACTCCGCAAGACGTGGCTTTATTGGATGCACACAAAGGAGCTGAAATGTTTAGAAAAGTCCATGTACCTGTAAGCCTCTACATGAAAAATACCAGCAGATTGTTCTTCCAAAATGTAAAAAAATTGCCATATACTGCAATAGGTGAACAAACCATTCAGGAATTACCTGAATTTCAAAAATTCTTCTTTAAAAAAAAAAAAAAAAAAAAGGATTAGAATCCATCTTATATCTATATCAGGTGCTTGCTTTAACAGAAAGGAAAGAATTTTCTCAGGCTGAGGTTATAATAGTACTTGATTTCTTTTAAGTCGGTTTGTTTAATCACTTGGAATGGATCAGACTGCTAAACAGAGTGTCTTACGAAGTAACATGTGCTTTCCAATTGTACTGTCTTACTATATCCTCATTATGTGTCCTCTTCAGCACTGTCTGTGTTGGAGCTTAAAATCTAAATTTCTTGAAATGTGGAAAAATCATATATTGGTACATTTTAAGAAGGAAATTTAAGTTTTTTGGGGAGATATGCATGTACCTAATATTCATTTTGCCATTTGAAGGGCTCCGTGACTGTCACACCAGGTAGAAGGCTGTCTATATCACTTTGTTTTTCATGAGGTTTATAGCTTACATGGTAGCTTGCTTGTTTGGGAAATGCAAAATTTAAAAATATCCACAATATTCATATGGATTGGGAGAAAATATTAAACAGGGTGACATCTTTGACTCGATGTTTTCTATGTGTGCTACAAGTTGCTAAGTAACTGAATGTTACACTCTAGAGTATGTTCATGAAGAGATTCATTTTTCATTTGAAATGTGCAGTTGATGAGAAAATATAAACTGAAATGCTTCCTTATCTTAAACAGTAAAGAAATAAAGCCATTTACTGTACTTGAAAAAAGATGTTTTCTTGCTTACCTGTGTGAAGGTCACTTCTAGTCTTTATTAAGAAAGGAAATTTCTTTCATAGCTAGTGCTTTGTTAATTTTAAAAAATGCAACAGAAACCTTGAAGTGACTGCTTTCCTTTTTTGTTACAGAATAGCTTAACAAAAGAAATACATTGATAAATTCCTTATTGTTAACCATTCCTTAACACATTTGCACCAAAATGGAAGTATAGTGGCATTTATCATTTGCTACTAAAGAAAAACAAATATATAGAACAGAAGAATAACATATGGAATGTTTTGTTTTGATTTTATGTTTGGGGATTGCTAAAATTACGCAAAATTATTTTCTTCAAATAAAATTGTGTTCAAGTTAGTACTTTGCCAAATTTTCCTTTTGATTAATGAGAAATTACCAAGATTTCTTTCTAAGTCTGTTTTGTTCAATGTTCTTTGAAGAGAATGGCCTTTAAGAAAATCATGCATTCTAGGATAGGCTTGGCTGTTATTAATTTGACTAGTGGTAGATAAGATATTAAATATGATCTATTTTGATTCATTGGAATTTTCAGATCTTCCTAAATCAAATGAAAAGTCACAGTGAAGCTGTTGTGCCAGATGCTGAGTTTGAATACACTTGAACCAGTCATCAGGTCTTACCTTTTTCATGGTGCTGCTTCGTTTTATTCTAATCTTGTATGTACATCAGTACAGATGTGTCATTTACTTCAGTGTTAAAGCAGCTCCTGCCTATCTATTACATTTCTAAGTGTCAACTAAATCTGAGGATCTAAAGAAAGTTTAGTTACATAATTTTTGATGGACAACTTCAAACCTGAGGTTTACATCAAAGAGGTGGAATCTGTGGGACTGTGCTAAAATTGCATATCCTGGTTATATAATTGACTGATCTTTAAAAATCTAATCTTTAAAATCTTTAATCTTTTAAAAAGCACTTGCAAAGAGTCTATTTTTCAAAGAAGCAGAGAGTCTATAGGTTGCTGAGCTCTGAGTCTTTGAGTATGCTTGCTTATATTTAATGAACTGGAGTCTCTCCCTTTTACATACAGGCATATGTACACCACCTTTCTATCACTCCCACAGTCACTAGTTACCAAAGCCTCAAATGACATATGTAGTATTACCACAGTAAAGTCACAATAGTTAACATTGTTTGTCCTTTACTGCATTGAAATTGGAGTAGAATGACTGAAGGAACTGATGAAAAGCTGGCAACGAGAGTCAGTGTTAGGACCAGGATTACAATGCAAAAGTCCTATTTTCAGTCTTAGGACATAGTCGTTAGAAGAGGAGTGCCATCTCTTGTGCAGTGGAGCCCACCTGGTAAGGAAGGAGTTTGCAAAGTGTGGCTGACTCCTATCACAACAAGTTTCAAGATTCTCGTCCATTATGTGAGTTTGGCCATCATTTTCATGCATCCCAGAGGCTTGCTCTGGGCAGGTGACAAAAAAAAAGTGAGTAAGCTTGAGTATTTAGGAAAAAATTGCCTATTTTCACCTGCTGAAATTGAGTTCAGTTCAGTATGGTTTATCTTATCAATCATATCCCTGAAAGAAAAAGACAGGGTTTTAGTTAAATCTACAACTTTTCTGGTAGTTTCCTTGAATTGGAAGGTTATGTTGTGGATTTCACAGGTTTCAAAAAACTGCTTATGTAAACTCAGCCATGTATTTCCTTCTAAGATGTACTAAAATTGTTTATTTGGCTATGTACTTACTGATATTTCTGTAGTGTCCAGAGTACCCAGCCGAGATTGTGGCTTATATATTGGGAGCAGAAGTTAGAGCCAAAAATTGCTCGTTAGAAGACGAAAGGTAGGAAGACAGAAATATTATTGTGCAAGTTTACTTGAAGCACTAAAAAGTCAAGCGACTGACTGGTTACCTAGGAAGTCGATGGCAGACTGCAGAACTGTAACCCTGATCACTTCAGTCCCTGTCAGATTGGAGTCAGACCTCAGCGCCATCCATCCTTAAGTACAGTAAACGACTTAAGTAGGTTTCTCAGGAATTGTCTCGTTGTGTAAAGACAGAGGGCTTTAATTTTCTCACTTTATTTTCTTTAACTTAGAAGGTAGTATGTTTGGATTTTGGCATGATCTGTTGTGTAACCAAAAGGTTAATTGAGCATAAGAAATATGTAAACATTCAGAAACAGTGTCTGTGCAGACAATTCATAATGAAAGGTTTCTTAATTTCCTGTTATTTCTTGATAGATGTCTCTTCACTGTTTAAAATAACTATTTGACTAAATGAAATTCAGTTCACTGCATTATAATTTTCCTCTCCTCCACTACCATAGGTTAGCTCCTGTATTGTGGTGCATCTCGTTATACTAGTTTTTGTGTCATTACTGAGCCAAACTTGCTGAGAAATGTACAGGGAAAGGAGCTCACTAAGGATAGAATAGGATTCACACATAATTATGGGATAGTTTGTGTAGACGGTAACTTTGAAGCTTTTCCAGATCTATTATTTGAGCAGGGAAATGAGAGTTATTACTGACTTCATTAGCAAGACCTATTACTTTGTCTGTAGATTTAAAAGCTCTGAAGATCATAGTGAACTCTCTTCCTTCTGTAAATATATCTGCAGAAATATACATGTTAAAAATACACTTCAGCACTAAAGTTGTGTGTGTTTGCACAGATTCTGTATTAAACTGGGTGTTTATAATTGGCAACTTAATATTCCAAAAAATATCTTCATTTTCCAGAAGAATAATTTGTATATTAATACATATGCACTACTCATTGGCTGACAGATAGGAACAACACTGAAAAAATAAAAATGATTGTGTAATGCTGAAATGTCCTTTGCTTTTAGTAAGATTTGTTGAAATGAAAACAAAAAAGGACAGTGAATAAGATGTCTAAAACTGATACAGCGTTGGGGGTACAGCTGTATCTCAGCATTTGCATTAACTGTGGCAGAAGGACTTCTTAGTAGGTTATCAAAGAATTAACAAAGCAGCTGTAATAGTCCTTAACTATTCACAAAACAATAGTAGACTACATAACTTTTTCTTTGATTGTGAATTCGCTGAATCATAAATGTTGTATGACTACTTTGAGGAGAACAGAAAGTTCAAGCCCCAAGATACCTGAAGATGAATTAATTCATTTAAAGTATAAATGTCAAGTTCTCTTTCTTTTTTTTTTTTTTTTTTTCCTTGTGCTGCAGGAAATGGCTTCACTGTATCCTAGTTAAAATACTATTTTTCTTTTGTCAAATAATACTCCTTCTAGTGTTCTCCAGTTTACCAACACAGTGAAAATTCCCTGACTTTAATTTAAGGAGAGCAGGATGAATGCCTGCTCAGAGGTCATCAGTAGAAGACTGGCTGTAGAGAGCCCTTTTTACCATCCCTGCACCTTGTATCCTTGGACACGTAGTATTTCATGTCTCTCAGTTTAAGAACTGGATGAGAAAATTACCTGTAATAATAACCTGTAACAATGTGCCGGTAAATAGAAACTTGCTCCTCTTGCAGTCCCCGGCAAAGAGTAGAAAATGGGGAAAGTTTGTGGTGTGAAATTGAAAGTAGGTAATCTTTCTTTTTTTTTTTTCTTTCTTTTTTTTGTTTGTTGTTTTGGGTTTGTTTTGTTTTGTTGTTACTGTTTCTTAAAATGTTCCTTGCTTTAAACCCTCTGAAAGTTTTATGTAAGTTAAGGAAGACTTCTTAGAAAATAGTGTGAAACACATTATGGTGCTATAGAAAAAGCAGGTCATCATCTTTTGATCATTTTTAGCTTAGATACAAGGAAATTTTTATTAAGATATTGTAACTAACATTCTTTTTTATTTTCAGTTTTGGTGCCAAAGGTTGTACATTTACTCTTAATTGACTTAATATTTGTTGGTTGCACTGAACACTGGTATATCCTTTTAGATATGCTTTGTTAGCATAGTGGATATGTTACTCCTCTAATAACTAGGCCAGCTTGTACAAGCACAAAACTAGAATGCTCAGGGAAATTTGAAAGTACAAAATGCTACGAAGTAAATAACAGCTTTTTGTACTTGAAAATATATATTCATGTTTTTAAAGCTTGGCTATAGTGTGTGTGACATACCTAGATAACATATAAATCTTAAAGTGAAATATTGTAACATGGAACCTCTTAAAGCAGGTCTTCTATTGATTAGCAGATGGGTAGAAGCTTTCACCCTGTAGTATTTGAATGCTGTTATCATCACTTTTGGGAAATTCTGCTCTGCCTCGATGAACAGTTTTGTTTACTAGGTGAATAAAATGAGATCAATGCTATCATTAGCATTATTGTACGTTGTGAAAGAAGATTTTTGTGTGTGTGATTTGGCAAATTTTCATTTGACATATTTTGCAAGGATGATGTTGAACACCTGGCATCAGCAGAAAGGTACCTCATACGTGTGTATTAGATTTTTATGTTGTGGGTTTTGACGCTTAGTTTCACACAATTATTTCTTTTGTTTGATCTTTAAAATGTGTTTCTGCTCTTCAGAACAATAGCAAATCTGGTTCTTTTTGAAAACATTTCCCTCCAGGATAACTTTCAAAAATATCTTAATAGCATGTCTGATTGTGTCATTTCTTGTAATGGTATGTTTTTATTTTGTGTTTCCTGAAACTGCAAATTACAAAGCTATAAAATACAACATGAAAATTCTTAGATTCAGAGTTCGAAAATGAAATACTGGCAGAGAGAGTTCTTGGAAAGATAGGCCTATACAAGAGGTACTTTTTGTTACAAATAAGTTTGTTAATCTTTGAGAGGCATAAATGTGAAAAACTTGAAATAATGCACAAATGATAGTGCAACTGAGATGACTAATAAGAGTTGATAATGATGTTAATGAGTCTGATATTACTGCTACTTCCCATTATAAATGAGTACTCTTTGTCGTTTCTTTGCTGATGATCTCTTCTTTATTGTCAAGAGATGAATAATGGAAATACTGATGTTTGAATCCCAGGTTTGAACATTCCTTTCTTTTACTTTAACAGGTTTTAGGACTGGTTCAAAATATGAGTGTTTTCCAGTGTCCCAAGTGTAAGCATGAGACACACATTTTTGGAGCTGACGGTGTAAGAGATCTAGCAAAAGCCCTTGGTTTGGATATTTTAGGTAAGGATATAGAAATGGTTTTATTTTTGAAGAAAAATTTAATGGCGTGCATGAGGGAAGCGTTAGCTGAAGTATGGACTGCATAATCCTAGATTACTCTATATTCAGACAATGTTCAGATATAATAGAACTAATAACTTAAGTAGCTGAATGTCACAGTTTTTGTATGCTCTGTTCCTTGTCAGGATCATTCTTGTAAATGGGATGTGGACTGGATGTGAAAATTCTTGAATTGCATCTTAAATCTCTTGATTTATAAACAATCCAGAACATGAATTGTTTTGATATCGATGTGCTATATTACCTGAAATTCATTACGTTATTGATCATACAACAATTTTTACAAATAACCAAGAATTCTATTTGGTCTTGTAAAACAGGCCTAAACTCTGTCCATTAATGTCAATAGAAGTTTTCTCATTTACTTCATTTAAATGAAATGAGTTGTTACATACTGAAATAAATATGGTAATTTGAAATGCAGTCCCTTAAAGCAGTTGTTTTTATGCCCATATGAAGATATCTTGACTCTTGTATGGAAGCAAGCAGGCTGTAATGATTGTATTTAAGTGTTGAGATTAAAAGAATACACTGAATTGCTAAATGTTACTTCAAAAGAAAATTTACCTTTATTGAAAACAAGAATTAGCCATGATTAAACAATCTGGCATGCCTATAAGCTAAAATATACATTGATCTTTAAAATACACATTGCTATTTTAAAAAGGCATATTTCAACTTGTGCTGTCAGTAAAAAGAATAAATACAGAATATAACACAGCGTAATTAAGTTGGTAAATGGGATAATTGCATGTGCTAATGATGTGTTTCCATGTATTACTATAATTATCTCAATGATTTCCATAGCTAATTCATTAAAAAGAACCAGGAAGCTCGCTTACAAAAATCAACACAGAAGCATCAAGGTCTGACATAAACTTAAGATAGCAAGACAACACATAATTAGAGAGATGCTTTTGGGCTATCTTTTAGTTTTCTGAATATATAATGAGTTGTGATCAGAGCCCAAGGGGACTTCTACAGCCCTGGGTTATGTGGATGGATGCAAATCCTCTGCAAGCAGTTGAATTAAACATGCATTTAGATACACAGGCACAAGTGATATGCCATCCTGTTGATCCCATAGATGGTTTTTGTTATTCCCTAAGAGGGCAGAACTGACTGTGATTGTATTTAATTAGGAGTGATGTGAGAGGTTTAGCAGGGGATGGCTGAGATGTTTGAAGAAAAACAGAGTGAAGTTTACCTTCAAACTGTCAGTGAAAGACCAGATTAAGATTAAGAATAATTCCCCAAGGGTTAAATTTAGAATTACAGTACTTGATCTGATTAGTATGCTTCTCCTTCCAGGGATGACCATTATATAATAATACCATATGGTATTATCAGAATTACTGCTTACAGATTTTACGTTAATCTATCCCAAATGGAAGTTTTATCCCAATGTTATTTGAATTCTGCCCAAAAGCCTTGAGAACTTATTTAAAAAAAAAATATATATAAATGTATATATTTAAAATTAGTATTTCTAAATTTATTTTGCTTATATTGTGCAACACCTGTGGCTGTTCTGTTTGTTCAGCTAAGCACCTAGTCCTCTTGTGAAACCTGGTAAGGTTTTAGTTTCCATAACATCTGACAAGTTCTGCAAGCTAACAATATGCAGGGTAGAAAAGTATTTTCCTTTTATTTGCTCAGAATCAGCTGCCTTTAATATTACTGAATACCTCCTTTATTTTTGTTTATGACAGAAGACAATTAGCAGTTGCCAGTACACCTTTGAGTGTAGTTCATTATTTCATATGCTTTTGATTGTCTTGTCTTTTTATTGTTCCCTGAAGGAAAATGTGCCGAAGTTTGTGAGAAAGACTTTGTGCTGCTGATTGTTTCTCTCCCTGTCTCTGAAATTGCCCTATTTTACTTTCTTTTCTTTTGAAGTTTGATGACCATTACTGTGACCAGAAAGCTATACCATTGATATACATAATACTAAGATGATAATTTCTGTACACTCCATCCTGACCTTTGCACTTCCTAACTTTTTAAACTGTATCTGCTAGTAGAACCAGCAACAATGACTCTCAGATGTAGGAATACTTCCTACAATAAATTCAAATTATTCTCAGCACTTACCCTTTCTTTGCAGTCAGTGATAATTGTTAGTATCAGAAAAACGTACGATGGCAAGTTCCTATCACGTTCTGTAGTGAAGAATATTGTGCAAAAACTTCATCTTCCTCAAACCCTTATCACCCAAACAGCCATGCAGATGGTTTTGCTGTCTTTATGCTTCTGCTTAATTTATAAGGTTTTGATTTTTTTTTTAATTGAGATCGCATTTTGCTTTGTCTTCTGACTTGCAGTTTTGCTCATACAAGTCCTGTTATGCTCCTGTAGTACCAGCAGATCTTTATAAGTATGAGGAAGAAAAGAGAGAGGCTGCCATTTTGTAGTAGGGCAGTTCTTTTTGTAATTCTCTGAGATTCTTATAGCTGATAGTGAAGAAGTATTTTTTCATTAACAAAACATCCTTGGGGAAAAAAGTGAAGATTAGTCTCTGCATAAAATAATAGTAGGAACTAACTTCTGGGAGATTTAGGAAGTTACTGTTATTCTATTACGAATGTTTAAGGTTAAAAACTTTCAAAGGACCCCCTAAATATTTTTTTTTAATGAATAACTGAACAGACTTTTATGCCTAAAGAAACTTACTCATGACTGAGAGAAATAAGAAACAATTAAATTTGAAGGAAATGGACTGTAGTAATCATAAAAAACAAATTGAAGTTCTTCAAAGATTCAGCTCACTAATCATGGAGCCACAGCTATTGGGTTTGCCATTTGTTTGGTTTTCTGTTTGTATTCCTGCTTGCTTTCGGTTCTGTTTTTTTATCTCTTAAGCTGTGTTAATTTTCATACAGTTTTTTTAAAGTTTCTTTTTCTGGCTACATTGAACTTCAGTAATTTACACTGGCCTTGGTTTGGGTTAAATAAATGTTGCTAAAGCATATGAATTAAACTGATACAGTTTCTGAGACCAGTCAAGACTGAACTAAGGTAGGCTGTTCTGTCTACCTCCATCCGTGTTGTAAAATGTAGCTTGTATCTGCCATTAAAAGAAAGTTGGTCTTCAATTCATTTCATAATTATCTATCTAGCAATGAACTAAACAGGGGAACTTCAAGTTTTCTTTAGTGCTGAAAAACTGTATTTCAGAAAGGATGTTTCAGAATGGAATAGGGCTGCTAATCGATTCTCCTTTAGAGCATTCCTTTCCTTTCTGACAGTTCCCTGCTCATTATAAAAACAGAATATAAAGAAGATTTCTATTGGAAAGAAGAATGAACTGAATAGTTGTCTACCTTTTAATTGGATCCAAGGCCTAATAAAGACAATAACAAATGCTATTATTTGGAAATTAAGTATTCAAAGAAATCTTTGAACAGTGATTAAAATCTTAAAACAGCACTGAAAAGAATATACAATGAGGAGGTAGGCTGAACAGTAAGTTGCACGATGAGCATTTGCCTAACACTCAAGCAATTTTTTTTATGGACGCAAAATAATTTGTATCTCAGCCTGTGTTTTTCTGTGTATTCGAGGCAAAAAAGCAAACTGCCTTCTTTAATAAATGACTACAAAGCATAGTCCTTCCTATTCAGAGAATGAAAAATCCAGAATATGTTTGACATTAATCATTATGGTTGTACAGAAACTGTACTGCAGCCAATTTTCATTTTAAATGCTAATTTTTTGAGATTAAGTAATTCAAAGAATATACCAAAATGCAATGTGATTTCAAGTTGCTTTAGGGCTATTTTAGTGCAACATTTAAGAAATAGTAGGTCTTCACATATGTGTATCTTGGTATTTTTGATACAGGAGACGTTCCACTGCATGTTAATATACGGGAGACGTGTGATTCAGGACAGCCTGTTGTGATCTCGCAGCCTCAAAGTGATGCTGTAAGTTTGGTGCACTGCACTGAAAACAACAAAAAACCCTCCTCCAAAAGTGAATGGAGAGTGCTTCTCGTTATTGCTGTTTGAAAAGAAATGTGTATCTGAATGTAACTTAGGGAAATAAAGTAAAAGATGGTAGTATCATCAAGTAACTCAGGCCCTTCATTTTGGAATGCTGGTCATCCGTTCTGCTTCTGTGAGTTTGGTTTTGTTTAATTAGTCTGAATCATTTAGAATAGTGAAGATTTGATCCAGGTCTGGCATGCCAAGAAGAGGAAGGTCAGTGTGAAGCCTCACGAGACCGTGCAGCTAATGTAGGTGCTCTAAAACTGTCAGTTGAGCCTTTGGTAGTTGAGCCTGGAAACTGTCAAAGGGTCCTATCAAAAGATGTTTGGAACAAAACCTGTGTATTGTCAGTACCTGGAT